CCCACTTGCGCATACATACGGCCAAGGCTCGCGTACATGGCTGGTTCGAAATGGAGAAACAGCGTCGTCGTCGTGTTCATGGGGAGCCAACCGGCTGGGTTAGAACGGAATGCGTCGTCGTGTTCATCGGGAGGGCTTGGACGGAACATCCGATGGAAACGATGCCTGGCGTACCGCAGAACGGAGGAAACAGCCTTGTGTTCATCCGGCCACGGTCGAAACGGGATCCTGTTCATCGGGAGGGGTCTGGCGTACCGCAAAATGGAGGAAACAGACTTCTGTTGGACCTCCTACGGTCGAACCGGGGTCCTGTTGATCGGGAGGGGTGTGGCGTACTGCAAAATGGAGAAAACGGACTTGTGTTGGAGGGCTACGGTCAAAACGGGGGTCCTGTTCATTGGGACGGGTGTGGTACCGCAAAACGGCACTCCAAGGGGTATTGTTCATCTCCACCGTCGAGCTCCTCCAGCCTCCATGGGCTACTGTTCATCCACCGTCGACCTCCTCCAGCCTCCACCTGCGACTGTTCATCCACAGGCTCCTATTCATCCAGCCTCCACTGCGTGCTACTCCACCGCCTACTGTTCAACCAGCCCTCTCCACGGGCTCTTGTTCAACCACCCCTCCACGGGCTACTGTTCATCCAGCCCTCCACCGGCTATTGTTCGACTAGCCCTCCACGGGGTCGTCATGTTCATCCAGCCCTCCACGGGGTCCTGTTCATCCAGCCCCAACCGGCCCGATCGATCGGGATCCTGTTCATCCAGAGGCAACACCACGGGTCCTATTCATCCAACCCCACCGGGAACTGTTCATCCAAATCCCCCCAGCAACGCTCACTGTTCATCCAGAGGCAGCATCGATCGGCTTCAGTTAGCAGCAGTAGCGAAGGAATCGCTCGATCGGGTTCAGTTAACAGTCATCGATCGATCGCTCGGGTTCAGTAACGCGTAGCCTGCAGTGCAATCGCTCGGGTTCAGTAGGCGAACGCCTCGCTCGATTCAGTTAGAGCCCAATGCCTCACACCCACGCGCGTGTGTGTGCGAGAGAAACGCGCAAACCTTCGTGCATCGCTCGGCCCCGACCATCCACTGTAATCGGGAACACCCCGATATTTTCCTCGCCCTCGCTTCTACCACGGTTTTTTCCGTCATGGACGGCCCAAAGAATGTCAAGCAGCTGCGTGTCCGGCCCGCCCAGGATGAAAAGCCCATTTTCTGTCATGATTTTTTGTCATAGAAGTAGGAGCCCACCACATCTATGATGATACCGGGTTTTGTCACAATTATCGTCATAGAAGTGTCATAAGTATGACAGAAAAAAATTTGTTCGGCCCAAAATGTCACGGATGTGTCTTTTTTTGTAGTGCAAGCTAGTCAACTAGAGGCTCACTAGGGACATGTTGTGGTATATGTATTCACACATGTATTACGGTCTCCGGTTAATACAATTATATGAACAATAGACAATTATCATGAACAAGGAAATATAATAATAACTATTTTATTATTGCCTCTGGGGCATATTTCCAACATCCTCCTCCATGGCCTCCCCCTAGATGGGGAGAGGTTCTCCATCTGGTCCTTGGCCTACATGGCAATGATGCCCCCCTACAAGATCCTCCTCCATGGCCTCCGGTGATGATGGCCCCCTCCGACAGGGTGCCGGAGAGGGCCTAGATTGATTTTTCGTGGCTACAAAGGCTTGCGGCGGCGGAACTCCCAATCTAGGTTTATTTATGGGGGTTTTGGTATTTATAGGAATTTTTGGCATCGGTCTCACGTCAAGGGCGTCCACGAGGCAGCGACAAGGTAGGAGCACCCTCCCGGGGGTATGGCGCACCCCCCTAGCTTGCCGTCGCCTCGGGACTCTTCTGGTCCAACTCTTGTGCTTCGGGGTTCTCTTTTGGTCCATAAGAAATCACCATAAATTTTCAGCCCATTCCGAGAATTTTTATTTCTGCACAAAAAACGACACCACGCTAGTTCTGCTGAAAACAACGTCAGACTGGGTTATTTCTAATCAAATCATACCAAACCATATAAATTTTTTGTAAACATGGCATGAATACTTCATAAATTATAGATAAGTCAGAGACGTATCAGCCGGTACAACCGCTTGAAGACATTCCTTAGGGTTTGCCAAACCAAAGGTGTTACAACCGCCCGGGGGCAGCGATACAATCGTTGGCAAACCTCCTGAGAACAGCAACCCCGGGGTATCACCCCTGGGGCGATGGTTGCACCGGATGTATCGGACAAGCGGTACAATCGCTTGGCTCGGCTATACAACCGCTAGGGAGTTTTCTCCTCGCGGAAGGATATATGGTGGGTGGAATGGAAAGTGTACGTGCATTGATTCACCCAATACCTTCCGATGAGGAATCCCTCTTAATAGTATGGGTTTCTTACGACGAAAGAAATAAACACGTAGAAAACATCATCTTCGTTCTTTTCCGTCGGGAGGGAATGCCTAAGCATCTTGTATCAAACAAAGTATACCTGAGAAACTTGGCACACGATTAGACCGCAAAGTGAGTTGTCATCATCACCACAACACTAAGGCGGGAAATGCCCTAACAATATGTTTATAGTATAACATGTTCATAACCACACCATATGTATCACCATTATATTCATGCATGCATGGGTTTAAACACACTATGATCTCTTATTCAAATATCTGAATCCACTTTTATAATGAATTATGATCTCTGTTAGTCTTTTACACCCACACAATCATCTTCTCTTTGTAGCTAGCACTAACTTTCTCTTGTGCATGCACACGCCCTTCTTGCCCTCCCCCTTCCTCGGCATTCTTTCCATTGCGCACATTTATTAATTTTCTTTGTCATTCTTCCACGGTCTCTATAGGTCTCCCTGGATCCTTCTTTTCAACAAACACCAATCGATATACCTCTCTAGCCAGGTCTATCTACCACATACACACACTTTCCCTCTTCTCCTCTCACCATCCATGCCCCCTATCTCTCATGTGGTCCCACACACATGCACACTCTCGTCCCTTTTTTCATCGATCTCACACTCACACACTCATCCCCCTCTCTATATAGTAGGCCTCTCGCACGACCTCCTAGGCGCATCCTGTCTCTCTATCCGTCTTTCCGGAGTCCGGACCTTATTTGCCTCTAACACATGCATGTATACCGATCGATCTCCCTTTATACATATTGCTAGGTCGACTATTACTGTTTTTTTCCCACGCACCAATCAATCTACCTCACTAGTTATGTCTCTGCCTTTCTCCGACACATGACGATTGATCTACCTATCTAGTTAGGTGTGCTTACCACAGACATATTGTTCCCCCCTCATCATCCATGCATGCCTCCCGACCCGTCTCTCACACGCACGCGCACACACAGACACACATCCCCTCTCTTATTGATATTGCAGTCGTACCTTCCGTTTGTCTAGTAGGGCTCTCCCACCATCTTCGAGAAGCAACTCCATCACCACCCCTCCGGCACTCTAACTCTGTCTCTCTACAAACCTTATTTCTGTCCTAAACATATGTATGGATGTCGATCGATCTCCCTTAATACATAGCTAGGTCTCTCCTTCTCCACACATATATC